GGTGCAGCAGCCAGGGACAAGGGTGCTCCTGGTCCATGCTAGGCAACCTCAGGGAAACAGGAGATGAATGCCAAAAAGCTGTCTAGCGGGCATAGTGCTCTCTGTTCTAAAAATAAATCTTTCTCTAGTTTCAGCGATTTCTCTTGCAGGAGTTTTATTAGAATAGGTTACTGTGGATTAATTTCCTGCAAACCCTAAATCAGACTTTCAAAGCTGAAATTTGGTCTTTAATCCTTTACCAGGACGAACTGAAGTACGATACTCATAGTGACTTAATATAGGCTATTTCCTTTGGCCGAAACTGAACAGTGACTGCGTGTGTACCAACTGGAAAACTGATCTAGAACCAAAACCAGACTTTTATTCTAAACAAGACTGAAGCTAACAGGTTGTGTCATAAATCCATTCCCTCATCACTGCAAAGACTGGTAAACTCAGAAGTGAACAAGACATTCACCGATACTGACACACTTAGAAATAAGGATCTTTAACTCCTAGAGGGTTTCATATATTTTAACAGTTTTTTGGGGGGAAAGGCGGGAGAACTCTTTTTTGAAGCTATAGAGTATTGCAGCATCTCCCTTTTTGCTTTAAGTGTGTTCTTAAGTACTACAGGAAGGCTTTGATGTGAACATCAAGTTTATTTCATATGGAATTCGGACTGGTCTTCCTTTTCCAGCAGTGCATGTTTTGACTTTGGCTAAGTTTGAATTTGATAGGCAAGATAAATATTTTCACTTATATAACAACAGGTTTTTTTTCAGCACACAATCTAACACAAAATAATCTTCTCCCATTCAAAAGATCACAGTAAAAACTTCAGAGGCACAGAAAACAATTTATGGCTTACACACCTTTGAAAAGTGTTTTACTAAGTAACTATTTTGCTAATGTGGATTTCTTGAAGTTATAGTTGGAAACCTCCAATGACTCAGGTAAATACAGATAAAGGCATCTCCAACGAATAGTACTCACTTTTGAGCAGCCCACTAAGTTTTCAAGCTTTTGATTTTAACAAAAAATGGAGTAAACAGCACAGGTATTTGAAACATTAATTTGAGAGCCCTACTGGTTTAGATAAGAGTTGAAGAAGTTAAGTTTTCTTTGGAGAACATGCTTACTTTTAACAGTTGAAAAAATTCTCTAGTGGATCCAAAATCTCTAGAGGGCTAACATGCATCAGCTATACACATAAAGCATGTGCCTGCTGCTTTTTTTTCTGTACTAACTTTTAAAGACAATACTTACAGACAATGCAAGAGGGATCAGGGAGCCAGTAGCTCCTACTCACTACTCACAGTAACAGCACTCAAGTAGCTCTTTTGGTGGTAGTATTCAAGGTGTGTGATATCTAGAACTGAACATATTGGATGTTGGCCTTCCAAGCAGGCAGCGTACATCACCTATAAACAACTAATATTCTTAGTAACAGCCCATGAAGGGAAATAGTTTAAAGAATAGCATCTGAACCCTAATGATACTTGGATTTACAAGCATGATATCTTCTGAAACTTTTTGTTCTGTCTTCAAAATTAAACATGGCAATAAGAGCTCTTCCCAAAGGGAATATATAATCAAGATGCCAACAACTATTTACATACAGAAATATCTCAGTTTCTTAGCTTTTCTGAATCACTATCTTGTATTTCCCCTTTCCCATCATGCATACCTTTGAATCTTAAAATCAGTGTAATATCAATAACATACCCTGCTCAGAATGATAAGCTAGATGTAAGACTCGGCAGCCAATTAGCTCACTTTTATTTTAGTTTTGTGTAGAAGCTGCACACAAAACTAAAATAGTAAAAGCCAGGAATG